AGCACAACCAAACTGCCAAATTGTGATTCATCTTTGGTGGCAGATGGCGAGCCTGTCGAACCCAGTGAGCACTCTGGCAAGAACCCAGCGTGAATGTTCATGTTGTGATTTAAAAACCTGGACAGAATAACAATTCAGACATCTTCATTTGATCTGAAAGGACAAGGAACTGTTGTCAGAGAGCACAAGAAGCAACGCTTCATTTAGGATTTATCTGCCATTTAACAGGATGTAACTGCAACGTAAGAATCGGGGATTTGGTCAGAATTGACAAATTTATTAATGAACGTATTTCCAAATGTAGACGTACTATTTGTCAAATGTGGGGCTACAACTAACAATTGTCTTCAATTAATCTGATAATGACTTTTTCCCATTAATCTTTTAGTCTATTAAAAGCCCAAGGTGATGTCTGCAAATAGCTTTTTAGTCCAAATGTTTAATGTGCAATGATGTTAAACAGAGAAAAGCAGAGAACTGTCATATATGGAGTAGCTGGAGCTGGTGAATGTTATCAATCAAATATGTAAATAGTTGTTGATTCTTTGTCAAGTAACTACTTGATTAATGAGATAATCGTCTCAGCTGCAGGTAAATAAGATAAGCATTCCTTATTGTGACTACTCCCACCGCCTTCAGCTATTCTGTTACTGAAATGTCACCACCTCTCAGATGAAGAGTAGCTCCCGGCTACTCCTTTATTGTTTGAGTCGGACCGAAACAACAAACACAATCATTACCGGCCTCTCGCTTGTGTTGAGCTCGACAGAGCATCACACTCCAGTGACTTCTAGCACCCCGGACCGACATCCAGAAAGGTGTTTCAGTTCAGTTCACCTTGTAAATGGATCCACTACAGGAATCCCGGCTCCACTACAGGAATCCCGGCTCCACATCCTTCTAATAATCCGATGCAGCCACGGTAGACGTCCCTCTATACACATCCATTATATACAAACACACAGTGTGAATCCAAAGCATTTGCTTGATTGTTGCACCAATCCAATCACACAAATGGTCACGTTTAAGCAACTAGTTCCTACCTAACACATTCATCACATAAAAAGAGACAAAATGTAATTTTTTGTGTGACATATGCATCACGTAAAAGGGCCTGTAATAGCTATTCTAAGTGTATCCTTCTATCTAATCTGTAACTTTAATTGGTTGCTAATACTATATTGCTATCATAATCTTGCCAGTTAAGGTTGAACAAAGGATGCTCCTCGTGTTCAGATCTGAGACAGCATCACTCCAGGGGTGCTGTATTGCAATCTGGTGATTCATATCAGTCTTCTGGTATACTTCCTCACTTGCTCCTTGTGTTATCCAGCCATGCAGATTAGTTCCAGCTTGGTTTAATGAGGTTTTGAGATCTCTGAGGCTTCTGTCACCGTCTCAAAAGAAGGAGATTCAGGCAACGAGTGGGCTAGCCAGTAGCAATAATCTGTGCTCAGAAGATCACTCTCTGGCACTGATCCCTCACCATACTCCTCCCATGCCTCCCTGCTGTGCAGAAATAATCAGTTGGCAGTTATAATAAAGCAGAAAATTGTTCCCAATAAGGACGGTTTGGCATGAAAGTCTGAGGAATATCCCGTAGAAATGGAGTTTATTCCAAATGTGAAAATCAAATAACATCAAACTTTGTTTTATTGGATTGGAAACCTCAGCATCGAACATCTGAAAACCTCCCAAAGAAACTTTCAGATGGCACTGAGAGCTACTGGGGAAATATACTTCTTCTGCAAGTTAAAAGAGATGATATTTAGGTCATAGAAAGGGCAGTACCCTTTTGTATTGGCCTAAATATAGAATGTTTTTACTAGCTTTGAGATAGTTTGATATTTGAGGACTAGACATATATGTATTCTCAACAGCAGAGTTTAAGGATCCACTCATGTATTTTGAGACAGCTTTTTGGATTATGTAGTATTAATGTTAAAAGGCGTAGCAAGGTTGTCTGCCCCAAAAAGTGTCAGTAAAACCAGTTCAACCCACAACCAATCGGCTGTTAGGTAACGTCCACAGAGAGCGTCTTCAGAGATCTTCACCACAGATACGCACCAGACAACGTCACACGTCAAGCAGCCATGAAAACAATGTCAGAGACGTGTTTAAAAGCCGTTTCCTTGGATGTAAACCGGACTGATTCAAGAAGCTCGAGAGTCTTATAATCCGATATGCACACATTTTCTGCCTAGAACCATAAAAAGATGGTTAACTACAAAATAAAAACATAGTACAGGACTGCCAAACAGCACAGGCCAGATGTGTGCAGGGCCCTTTAACAATAATCTTAGACATTTTGAATTAATGCCATTATCTTGAGAATTACCTAAAACAGATGGATTAGCTCACAGCAAATAGAGTAATAACCTGAGCTCCCTCAAAGGCTTCCACAAGACTATTAACAGGGTGAACCTGTGAACAGAGAGCTGGTTCTGCGGGGTTCTCTGTAGCCAAATAAAGTAAAAGGTGAAGTTATTACGAGCCTGCCTGTGCTCCCGAGGGCCTCTTTAAATGCTAGCGTGCCTCAGTTTGAACCCTCTAGAGCCCACGATGAGGACTTTAGGAACAGCTGAGGCAGCCAGATCAACAAGCACACTGAAGACATTTCCATAAGCCGCTATAAGAAGTAAATAAAATAAATAAAAACATGAATGCTTGTGTGAGTTAAATGCACAGGGAGCCTTTTAGGATTACATTTGCATAAACTAATTTAAAGAGATCTCTAAAGGTTTCATTCTCCCTCAAACCCTTGAGTTGTCATGATCCCAGAGACATGTCGGCTTCTTCTTCTTCTTCTTCTTCTATCTCACTTTAACAAGACACTCTGGACCACAAGGTATGACTCTTAAAACAGACGTGTACCAAGAGATTTTATAGAGCCGAGCAATGTATTTCATAATACATTAATATGGCTACGACGGTTAGCCTTGGCTGAAACCTGCAATTAAAATTGCATAAAGTAGATCACAATTGGGCTATAAAATGAATTAGATCCAGTCTATTTACTGGATGAAATACATTTAGCTATCTATGGCTGCCCACCTGAGAAACACCTCTATGCCAAAACTTACTGGTTCATCACGGCAACAAATATGGACGCTTAAGGCCAGAACAACGGCAGCTCACCTAAAGGTTATTCAGAGCATTAATATAGCAGCAAAATACTATTTGCAATGTCAGTAAATATAATGTAGTAATATCAACCTGAGCAGAGAATGAAGTCAATCTCCCCCTGTGTGTGATGTAATCCAAGCTTCTTTGTGTTTTGTTTACATAGCAGTGCACGCGAGCGTGCCCCACTGGTTAGCTGGTTGCGGAAGCGTAGCACCCGCCCACCTGTTCCCCTCAGGTGAACACTGTTAGCTCTGTCGGTGCTGTTAGCTGCTTGCAGACGGCATGTTGAGAGCTGTGTGAAGGCAACAGACATGCTCTGAATTTTGAATTCGGCACCTTTAAGTGTGCAAAGGATCTGTCTGGGATTCACTGACAACAGACGGGTATCATACAAAATATTTGTGTGGCCATAAATGCAACATTTTGCTCCTAACGCTCCTGTATTCCATCAGTGCCATAAACTGCCACCTCTGGACAAGAATGAACATCCTCACCATCCCACCTTTATGTAAAAAAAGAAACCCTTGAGGTCACTACTGTGACTCACAGCTCCACTTGAGGCCATGTCTGCTGCTTCCCCGTCGCTTAACTGAAATAATTACATTATTTGAAGCCGGCAGAATCCGGAGTTCTAGAAGGCTTTCAGGGTGGAAAAATGAGAGGCCCACAGGGGACGAGGAGGCAACCCTCGGCGGAACCCACTGAGAAACGCTCGGAGAAATTGCTTTTAACGCTTTTCACAGTAAAACGAATGACCTCCTACCAGAGACCCGTCCTATAAAATGATCCTTTCCACCTACTGGATGGCATTTTGTTTCCGCTCATAGGTACGTTTGTCATCACAAAATAATACAAACGTAAGTGCCGTATGATTCATATATGTATGCCAATCAAATTGCATATGTAATAAGAAAATAATAAGAAAAAAACACTCTGAACACACACTGAGCCGGATATTCAAATGCAAAATAATCAGAAAAACTGCATTTGTATTTTGGTGCTAGATATTAACTTTCAACAGTTCCCAAACAACGATTACATCAACCAAACACTTCATGATTCCCTAATATCAAGTTACTATTTTGTTAGCTAATCCCACACATTGAAGCTACGTGGCTTCAACATAACAAAACAGCCCCCAGTGCTGATTTAATGGCTTACAGTGAGTAAATAAAAATTTTATTGAAATGTAAATATGATAGAATGCACTTTAAAATAACTCCAGTCCGCTAAGAATAACATTTGCTTGCAGGGCGTGAAACTTATTCAGCACAGTGGATTCCAAATAGCACGAGACACTTCAGCCACCTCACAAAATATGAATTAGACTCAGGAGAGGAGCCTCAAAGCGACGACTGGCTACCGGCCACAGGGGCAGAACAAACCAAACAACTCACGGAGAAGCTGCAGCCAAAATGTACCCGCATTTGGCTCGTGGCGAGCAGTGATTTCCGAGCGTGATTAAGAAGTAACTCAAGCTTTTCAAACCACTTCTGCCAGAGAGACATTCAGAGAATACAGACGCCAAGGTGATGAAATTAAATAAAGAATTTAAAAACAATTGCACTTGATGGAGACATGGAGGGTGGAGGTATTCAGAGCTGCACAAAAGGAATGACTACGTCAGAAGAAGGAACACCTGAGCTGACGTGTGTCTAACCAGTCAGACCAGAAGCTGAAGAAGTGACGTCAGCACACGCATGTTCAAGAGGAAATGTCTCAGTGTGATGTAACCAAAAATAAACCGAGGAATAAAAACGGTTTCTCCTCTTAATCCTTCACAGGAAAAAATAATCTCCTTAAGATGTGACAGGGCAGGTTGTGTCGCATACCAGACGATACAAAAACAAAAGAAAAGCCACTTTGGTCCTTACCTGTGTCTGTGCTCGTCATGTCCTCCCTGTCCGTGTATGACCACCTGTCCAGAGGCGTGCTTCCCCTCTTTGGGGGAGTCAATGTGGGGGATGAGCACATCCTCCAAGCCCAGGTCGAAGCGCTTGTGCTTGGAGTTGTCCGGGAGGAAGAAGAAGGCCCCGAAGCATAAGGTGATGAAGGCACTGAGGATGAGGAGGAGGATGAACTTCTCGGAGAGCCTCAACGTGGCCCTGTGGTGCGGGAAGGAGGAGGCGCCCGGCGACAGAGTGGGTATCCTGCGGCCGGACAGCGGCAGGAGAGCCGGCGTCGTCATGTTTTCACCGTTGACTTGAAGTTATCTTTGGGACGGGGGGTGGGGTGGGGGTGGGGGGTTTACAGGTGTGCTACAGGTGTTTGTCGTAGCGGCATGCACAAGCTGGTCGACTTTATTATCTCATCCCTGCATTGATACGTCCAGAAAGCAGAAGAGGCCGAGGTCCCTCAGTGAAGGAGTGACTGGTCGGCAGGAAAACGCTCATGACGATTCTGGAAAACAAAACGGGGAAAAAAGAGTTAGCACGCCACCATCTCTTCCTCTCTTCATTCTAGCCATTTATCTCCCTGAACACAGTCAGGATTCTGCAGAGCAGACGGTCTTTATATATGCTTGTCCTTAAGTCCTCCTTCCTCCCCCTTTGGCAGCGTGTCCCTTGTAAACACCGGTATCCTCTCACCAAACACTCAGACAGGCTAACAGCGCTGAAAATACGATCGCACACGTGTGGGGACAAATCTAGAAACAGGTCACATATCAAAGGGAGAGCTGAAATATTAAGAGTCATAAAACAATCCTCTCGCATGCTTTGGTGAATTTAATCACATGTCAAAAATAAATATACTTCAGAATAACAGAACAGTTAATCCTTTGGCCAGGATAAAAAAAAATAAACATATTCTCCAGAGGATCAGAGACAATGTGCAATATCTATGAAACCATCGCCACCAAACTACTGCAAATACTCTCATCCCTGCTAAAAACTAACATACCTGTAACCAGAATGAACCCAGCTTTCTATTCTTACAGTTTTATAACATTTACAGTGCCGTGTGGTACATCTTGTCCATCAGAAAACAGATCGTGATGAATAAAAATGACAGAGATGAAGAGCAAACATCACAAATCCTCTTCGTGGACTAGAATGACAATTCTCAGTTGTGTGGCAACCTGTTTTTTAGTGCAGGACATGCAAGCTAAATTATATACACTGCACAGCACGTAACGTTATATCTTGTGCAGGATTGCATCTCAACTCATGCGCTGCTATTCCAAAAGGCGCAGGCTTTATACTGCATATAAAAAGAAGACGCTCTGAGGCAACTGCTTCTAAGTGCTAATGTGGATGGATGGAAATGAAGCGAATAGCAGCTTTAAACGCTAAAATATAAAGGGTCGTATTAAGGGTCGAGCCACCTAATGACAACATAAATTATATATATAT